TAGCATCTATCTGGTTTTTCTTATTTTTTCCATTTCTCTGCTGAAATTACCCATCCTCACTAATTCTTCCCACCTTTCCCTATTTAAGATAGACGGTAGGCAGTTTAAATTCTTTTCTGCCAATTCTTGTATCTGGATCATCTGTGGTTTACTTCTGCTGCTGTTTCCCCTTGGTTATAAGTTTGCTCCTGCCTCTTCTCAGGTCCTGTAAATTTATTGTTGCATCCTGGAAATTATGTACGGAAGAGTGAGAACTGAAGAATAATACTGGTTCTCTTCCCTCTGGAAATTTCCAGCTCTTCTCTCCTCTGTTGACTAAAGGGAGGAGGTGATTATTCACATGTCAGCCTGGGTTCAAATGTCAGCTCACCTCGCCTCAGCCCAATGGCATCCAGCTTCCTAAGGAAAGGCCAGTCTCAGTTCTTATCAGGGTTTGGTCTGGCATTCCAAATTCCCAATTCCCTTTGGGTGCCTCAATTTCAGGTCTCAGGAGAAGGTGGGAGATGGGGCAGATGGAATGATTTCTTTCTGTTCGTCGTCGGCCCTCCCTTCACTTCCGTGTTTTTTTTTCTCAACAGATCTGGGGCGGGTGGATCAAAGCATTATTGTCCTGGATCATCTTTCAGACTCCAGGGCATCCCACCTCTCTCCACCCTTGCTGAGGCTCAGCTGACCTGTCTCCACCCAGTGAAGTTCCGGGTCCTGCCGCTCGCCTGCATCCAGACCCACCAGAGCTCCCGTACAATGGGCTCCTCTCTCTGGAAATCAGTTCAAGCCTTTCTTGTCTCCACTGTTCCTTGATATCCATATATAAGGAGGATTTTTACATTATCCAGATTTCTCTTTGTGCTCCCACGGGAGCTCAGGTCTACTGCATCCCAAGCGGAAGCAAAAGTACCTAGAATGCAGCTGTTATTTTGAACATGAAGGGCTTTCCCTATGTGCAAGCCATCCTGGCCCTGAGCTCTTGGGAGGCAGCCTGGCACTGAGGCTTGTCTTCTCCCAGGGAGCTGGAGATGAGACCCACCGGATGGCTTATGTTTGAAGGCTGAGTTTTGAGTTTGTAGCCATGCTTTATGGACCTCACTCATATCTCCCCACCTTTCCCATTTCAGGTCCTTCCAACAGCCAGTCTCACACGTCTCTTTGCTTAGGGGTTTTCTCTGGACCCCAAAGTCCATCCTGCCTATGCCCAGAAAATTGGAACATTGGAGAATTCACATCCCTCAAAGGCAGTCCTTAGGCAACGATGGGGGAGGCTGGTGGGTAAACACCCCTGCTCCCTCCCCCTTGGGTGAGATAACTTGGAGGCCGTGTTCTACACCGTCTCCCAGTCCCCCCAGGAGCAGTCAAACCAGTTGCCCACACTGGGGACTTGCTGGGAACACACTTTCCTCAGCTGCTTTTTCTTCCTTATCTCACTCCCCAACTTCCTGGCTGGACTGTCCTGGGATCACCTTTTAGCTAAACTACTTGAACTTGAACTTGTGGCTTAGATTCTCTTCTGGGCAAACCCAATCCAAGGCAGGTTTCCATTCAGAGGCACAACCTCTGGGTGCTGCCTGGGTTTGTGTAAAGGGGCCGGCATGGACAGGGTGTTAGTTGAAGAAAGGTAAACCCAGCCAAACTTAGGTGGACCTCACCAAAGAACATCAGGCACGTTTCTAGGATCCAGGAGAGCTGACAAGGGGGCTCATCACAGCCTGTAATAACCGGAATATGAAAGTCCGGTATCTGGGATTCAGTTAAACTGTTTACTGTCTGTCTGTGGTTATGCTTTTAAAGCTTAATACACTCTGAATGGTAGATTTAAATTCATAAGTACGTTGTTTTGCAAAACTGGCACGAAGTTCTTTCAATACAATCCCTGAGATACATTAGCAGGTTGCCTCCAGAGCTTGGGGTTCTCTCTTTGTTATTATTTTTTGCTCTTAAATAAAGAAACCTTGCAGGACCACAGCTCTGTAAACGTCTTGGCGGGATGCCAAGAATTTCTCTAGAAGCCACTTTCTAAGAAGCAATTTCCTTCCTGTCCCGTAAAACTCCCCAAAGTACCTTAGGCGAACGCCAAAGCACCGGTTATGTTTGCAAACTGCAAATACAGCAGACATTTAATTCCATCGAATTCATCAAAACCCTAATTGAGACAGGAACTCAAACCTTATGGCTTTATTACTTTAATTTCAGATGGGTAGCAGACTTGGTCACAAGCAGCCCTTCACGCCGGGATACATTAGAGAGAGGCCCACGGGCACTCACTGGTAATTCTCCCGGCAAATGAAAGTGTGGAGCAATGTAAATAACACTGCTAAGTGAGACCCACGACCAGATCTATTACTCAGCTCAATTCCCCAGATCCATCGCTCGCTGTACCTAACGTTCCTCTGCACCAGTGTCACTGCCCGGGAAGGCTTCTCAATAGGTAAGGCAGTGCCTGTGTCTCACAGATTTTTGTTTTCCTCCCACTGATCAGAAAACACAGAGGCAAGGACCAGTCCTCTGAGCTCATTGTTCTACCAACTCGTCCTCCTCTTGATTCTCATTTAGAAGACCTTCTCCCTGACTTTCTTGTCCCTCCTCACCAGGCATCCTGTGGCTGTTCCACTATTTCATTAAAAAGTTCTGTCAACAGCTAGGTCAAATTACTGCAGGGACCTAGGGTGGAATCTAGTGGCAGGGACCCCAGGGAACCTTATTCTTCTGAGAGCTGATCATGGTGTCTAACTTTTATTGAGCATTTACCATGTGGGCCAGGTGTTGCTTGATGCTGAACATGTTATGTTTCATCCTTACAGCGATGCTAGGAGGTAGATGCCCTTGTACCCATCCTATAGACAAGAAAACTGAGGCTTAGAGAGGTAAAGTAACTTCTCCAAGGCTCCACAGTCAGCAAATGGCAGAGTCAGGATTCAAACCCAGGCCAGTCTGATCCCCAGCCTCATGTTCTTCCCAAAACATCATTTTTCTCCCTCTGCGAAGACTTCCGGGATTCTACAAAGGTCTGAAAAAGAGAGCTGGGTGGTCTTGGAGCTCTCTGAGTGGATACAGGACAAGGAAAGTCAGAAGGGAGGGCCGGCCCCCAGAATCATCCCATGGGCTGCTCCTAACACCATCGTGGTGGTTGGTGTTTCTCTCCACAGTCACGTGAGATGAGCTTGGCAAAGACCTTCCCGGGGTGGTGGTGGGGTGAACTGACTGATACCAGCACTTGCTAAAGTTCAAGAAGCAATGTGTCTTTTCTGTTCTAACCAAGCCAGTGATTACCCTCATTGCTAGTAACTTATGAAACACAAATGCATTCAACTCATCTCCTATGTAATTAGTTGCGTGGTATTTACTCGGCACTTTCCAGCCAGTTGTTTCTTTTCTTTACGTTACTTCTCCCCCTTTGGGTCTGACTTTGCATCAGGCTTCAGGTACCAATGACTAATGAACTAGTGACAGCACTAATGCTCATACTGCTAATGGTGACGATGCTAATTAAGCCAGTGCTGACAGCCACAGGCTCTGCAGAACGTGGCTTCATCTCTGGGAGGCAATGAGAGGGCAGCCCGCACAGGTGAGAACCAGAAAGCACAGATGGCCCCAAAGGCAAAGACAGACACTCATTTTTTGCGATACTAACCACATTTATAGGAGATCTAAAAAAAACGCCACATCGTGGGTCCACAAAATCTAAGACAGAAGATAACCGACTGAAAGGATGAAGAAAGAAAATGTTCAGTCTTGCAAGTTGGGTGGAACTCAACTTGCGTATGGACCCAGCTGCCCAGCAGCTTCCTCTCAGAAGTAAGCGTCCAACTGTGGGCTCTGGAGCCGACCCCTGATGAGATCAAGGTGTCGCTCTGCCTTGCTGCCCAGAAGCATCGAACCCACCAGGCAACCCAGACAAATCAGTCGGCATAAGGAAGACAGACAGGAGTGAAAAGCAGGCGATGCAGAGGGCAGTGGTGCCAGGGCGCAGCCGGCATTATAGACTCTGGAGTCTGCCTGAGAGTTGGGTTGAGCTGGGTGCCCCTGGCCAGCTGACCACACGACGAAGGGTCTGGAAGAGGATGTGGGAGAAGGTTTGCAGGAGCTTCCTTAGCCCTGCAAATCAATCAGCTGCTCCTAGCAGGACCTGCATCCTCCCTCCACAGCCAGGAGGCTGGTGGGGTCACCCGGTGCCTCAGTACTCCATGCTGGGGACCCTCGTGGGCTAGTGGCTAGAACTCGCTTTTCCCGGAAGATACAGAATCCTGGCTGTTTGGGCAGAGAGCTCAGGACTGTGTTTCTGAATAATCTCCCTACGAAGAAACTAGGGCATCAGAGCTGGCCAGGGTGGCCGCAGACCCCCAGCTACCCACTGCAATGCTGCGGGTGCCCAGCAGCCTCATTACTTTGGTGACTTCGGGTGTCTTCCCAAGACTTTCCAAGACGGACGCCAGACGGACACAGGCCCCACAACACCTCCTGGCAGTGGAATAGTCTCTGTAGATACAAGGCAGGCACGCAAAGCCCCTCATGACCCCCAAAGTAAGCTAAAGTGGACACAGAAGTCAAATGCTTGATCGTTGTCGAAAAAGAGAGAACTCGCCCCAAACTGTGACAAGTGCAAACTGTTTTTAGCAGAAAAAGAAAATCTGTCGTTTCCTCTCTCTCTCTCTCTCTCCTCTCTCTCTCTCTCTCTCTCATTTACTCTATTTCCATTCCTAAGACTATTTTTACATCATTCTAGTTCAGTTCAGTAACATATCAAAATGAGTGTGACACGTTCAGATTCGCAGGCTGGTTACTTATTCACATGGATCCGCGCACTCCACGACCCATCGTCACGGAGACCAAATCATGGTGCCTGGGTTTCCAGTCCCGGCTGGGCCATCCTCCTGGGGTGTGAGACCCCACGTCACCCTGCCCAAGGCCTCTGGCCCACACGTGGGTGTGCTCCAGGGAGACAGGCCCCCGACGCACCTCCACGCTGCCCCTCCCCCTCCCCATGCCACGCTCTGCCGCGGTCTTACCTGCCCGGCGAAGAGCCCACAGACGCCAATGATGCACAGGATGTTAAACACCGCGGAGCCCACGATGGTCCCCACTCCCACGTCACCCTTGGTGATGAAGACGCCTGAAACACAGACCAACATCGGCTGCCTGCTGGAGGGGGCTGCACCCAAGGCGGGTGCAGGGGAGCTTTTGTAAGCATTAGGCTGTTCTCGGGATCTACAGGAAACAGCAGGGGGTTGGAGAGAGCTTGCTAATGTCTGTTGGGCCCTCTGTCCCACAGAACCATTGGTACTGGTTCTGGAACCCATTGATGCAAAGCAAAAGCATCACTTTCATAAAATAAGAACAGCAACCCCAGCGGGTGGGAGGCTGGTGTTCTGCCCCTTGGGGTCTCAGGGTTCTCGTTTCCAGAGGCCCTGTCCTTCAGGGAGAGCAGGGCTGAGACGTTCCCCAGGTGGGCACCTACCTATGACCGATGTGAACAGCTCTGGAGCTGAACTGCCTGCTGCCATGAACGTGGCCCCAGCCACATCCTCGCTGAGGTGCAGGCGCTGCAGAGGAGCAAAAGCACAGGTGAGTCGGGACTCTCCTGGAACGGAGGTGACTGTGACTCCCCAGGTCCCAAGCTCAGTCCATCCTCAGCCTCCCCTTCTTCCCCAGCTCAGCCTCTCCGGCCCACCCCCCCTCTGGGCCACACCTCCTCTCTGGGGCAATATCAGGGAGGGGGCTACATGTTCCCTCCAATTAAAGGCTCTGACAAGATCCAGGGATCCTAAGCCAAATGCCCCCGGGGCTGCACAGATAATGGGGGGATGGGCACGGGCCATGTGAGGCAAGTGGGACTTCACCTCCTTTTTTTTTTTTTGCGGTACACGGGCCTCTCACTGTTGTGGCCCCTCCCGTTGCGGAGCACAGGCTCCGGACGCGCAGGCTCAGCGGCCATGGCTCACCGGCCCAGCCGCTCTGCGGCACGTGGGATCTTCCCAGACCACAGCAGGAACCCGTGTCCCCTGCATCGGCAGGCGGACTCTCAACCACTGCGCCACCAGGGAAGCCCCACCTCCGTTTTGAAAGCTCAGTGCCCTCTGTGTTGCAAAATATCCCTAATATCCCTACTTAAAGAGACCCCCAAATACACATTTTTACGTAAAACATTCTGATTTTTTCATCACTATGCTGATGATCTTGGGCTGCATCAGGCTCCTGGCAAGCAGTTTTAGAGCCTTGAGTCTAGGAGGCTATGGAGGCTTTTGGGAGTGGGGAGGGTCACCCTCCTGAAACCCACCCCCATTCGCAATGCAGTCTTGAATCCCGGGGTAGGGGGAGTATGGGGGGTGGTGAGAATGAGTACAAAGAGATGATGAGCCCCGCCAAGATAAGCTACACAATGAACTGTCCAGGTTACCCGGTTTGTTGATCCGAAAGGTGATCTGCAAGAAGACACGTGACACTGAGGCTGGGTAGTGTGGGGAGCTTTTCTGCATCCAGTCCTGATGCAGAAAGGAAGCTGCTGGCTGTCAGGAAAGAGCCAGCTCCCTCCGGGCATCCCCGCTAAGAGTCCCTGGTCCCTCTTCCCAGCGGCACCGCGGCTGCACTTCCTTGCTCAGCCATGGAGGGGCAGCATGCCCTCGGCCAAGGCCACCAGCTCGAATGACCATCAAGAGACTGCCGCCAGAGCCCTACTGAGCATTTTGACCTGGAAACCTGGGTTCCCTCGATCTTGACTGAAAAGCTAAACGTTGCATGTGGTTCTGAGGAGACCCTAAGATGGAGGTGCTGATACCTCAAGGTGAACGGTGTGGCTGGGAGCGGTGCCAGGCATCCCGTCTCGCCGGGCAGGTACCCTAACAGCGCTCACACTCCGTGGCTCGTTTGTCCTCTCCCTGCTGTGTCCGCTCCAGCTCGGGCATTAGCTGTGGACTCCACAGCCGGGCTGATCTCCTGTTCCTCTCACTCCTTCGTTCACTCACTTTGCTTCTTCCTCCTTCACCTCCCCGCCCCTTGCACCCCTCATTCACTTTGGCCCTGGCCACCTGGCACTGGGTGCTTAGAGTCACCAGCTGGGGGGTCTTCCTGCCTCAGGACCCTTTCCATCTATCGGAACAGTCCTCAGAAGCTTTCCCAGCTCCCTCCTGATGCCCCAGCCCCCTCCTGATGCCCCAGCCTGGCGTCCTCAGGGCTCCCCACACGCAGGCACGCTGAGTCCCGCCCCGGGCTCTCCAGGCTTGGTTCACCGGCTCAGACTCTTCTCGGCTTAAATATCCGTCCTTGTAAGACGTTGCCACTGAGACCGCTGCTCCCATCCTGCCCCTGCACAAGCCCTTCCCCCATCCCAAGGCCCAGCCACTCTCTCACCTCCTTTTCCCTCTGCATCTCCAGCTCCAGCGCTTCACCTGCCCCTGTGTCTCACTCGGGAGCTGCCCCGCGTCCCACGGCCCCGCGACGCTGTGTTTCACCCTGATTCCTCCCCAAGGGCTGTGCTCATAGGTGCTATGGGTCTCCTCAATGGAGGAGAACACGTTCTGACAATTGTATGTGCATTTCCAGCACGAGGTCTTAACGTTGCTATTAAAAAAACGTGTGGGACAGAGCGTAGTTCGCTTCACGTGAGGAGTAAACTACCAAATGGTGGATTTCAGAGATCACAGCTGAGCCCGATTACAGGTGCTTCCGTGCTTTCTCCTCTTCTCCGTCAGGCGACCCTGTGCTCACGTTCAATCACTTTGGACAAAAGGCTTCCACGCGGGCCGGCATCCATCTCAGAGACCAGATCACCGATTTTCCTTTCCCACTTCCCACCTCCACTCCCGGGGCCTCTCCACGGTTGCTGTGGCATGACTCTCTTTTATTGCTTTAAGTACACAAAACTAACAGACTTCAGAACGTGGAAGAAACTGCTTCAGCTAGCAGTTCTCGAAGCGTGTCTTCCAGACCACCAGTCTCCACATCACCTGGGAACTTAATAGAAATGCTACTTCTGTTCCCCACTGTCCCCCAAGACCCAGTGAATCGGACACTGGGGGGAAGGGAGGGAAGAAAGGGAGGGTCAGCCCAGGCTGAAGGCTACGTGAAGGAGCAGGCGCTCTGGATGGACAGGAAGTGCATCTGGGGAAGAGACCCCTTCTGCAAAGGGGATTCTGAATTAAAAATAAAATAAAACAGAACGCTTCCAGATAAAGCAAACTACAATTCAAACCAGAAAAAGAGATGAAAGAAGCAAGAGAATGAAAGAGTTCTAGATATGCTAAGTGTTTTCAGATGAAAGGGGTGTAACTTGGCGTTCAGCCTGGCGTTCACCGGGCTTATTTCCTGGTCTCTGTGGCCAGTTCTTTCATCGCCTTGCCTTTCAGGCCTCTGCCTGGAGCGTCTCTGCACATACACGGAGAGGAAGGGCAGTGGAGGTATGGCTGAAGACTTCTCACTCTGTGAGGACCCCACGAATCGAATCACGAGGGAGGGTTACGGCAGCGGCAGAAGGAAAGGGCAGTGAGGAGGATGGAGGAAGTGAGGGGAGAAAGGAAGAGCCAGGCTTAGAAAGCAGGAGCTGAGCACAGGCGGTACCTTGAGTTACGCCCAATGGGGCAGGGACCACTGGCCGTGAGGGTTAAAGTGCAACTGCGGATCTGCACACTGAAATTCTAAGCAGATTGGAGATGTGTTTGCACTAATACTGCCCATGGCTCTGAAGCATGCTGGTGCCTGGCCTTCCCACCCCAGCTGCATGGAGGGCTCCCCGGGACCTCAGTGGGGGAGGATGGAGCAGTACCGGGGCTCAGACACATACCTCACAGATCTTTTCCAAGGAGGGGACAAAGAAGTCATCACACACTATCGCCAGCGCATAGAACATGTACATGGCCTGGAAGAGAGGAGGGAAGGGGTTAAAGTCAGAGTCATGACACCATGTACAAAGTCGTTGCAATGCCTGCCACCTCCCACCCTCCCACCTTGTCCACCTCCTAGGTCCCCAAACACACCACGGATGCCTGCCCCAGGGCCTTTACACGTGCTGTTCCCTCTGCCCAGAACACGTTCCCCCCACATCAACTTGGCTCCGTCCTCCATGTCCTTCAGGTCCCTGGGTTAATGTCAATCAAAGCAAGGGGCCTTGGACTCCCCTCCCTTCCCTTTCTCTTCACCCCCCCTTATTCTGCTTTGTTTTTCTTGACCTATTTTATGTTCGATTAATTTGTTTGTTGTCTCTTTCCCCCTCTAAAAGTCCATGAGGGTATGAACTTCATCTCATTGATCCCCAGCGCTCAGCACAGGGCCTGGTGCATAGTAGGTGCTCAATAAATTTATGTGCAATGAAGGAACAAATAGATGAATACTTCCTACTGAGTTTGTTCACGCTCCTGTTCCCTGCAGGACAGCCCCTGCAGTCTTGCTTCCATACCCTTGGTCAACCACAACCAAGGCATTGCTTGGAATTCTACCTTTGGGCCACAAATCCCTTCTCTACCTTAACCAACTCTATGTCTCCTCTCTAATTAATGAGATCTTATTCGCAGTCCATTGTTGGTTGACAACTCAGCATCCATCCTCCACTCCTTCCTAATAGGACCCCAGTTTTGCTCCCATGTGGAAGGTGGCTCCACCCTTTCCTCCAGGAGTAGATCACCCTGATGAGCCAATCAGGGTGCAGTATTCCACAGGGATGGCTATTGGTTCAGGGGTGGGCACGTGACCTTGGCTGGCCCAATCAGATGGCAGGAAAGGCTTTACAGTCCTTGCCACAGAGAGTGGGTCCTCACCCTCCAGCTGTGGACCAGGAAGCTGGGAGTCCTGACTGCCATTGGCCAACAAATTGAGACAACTCTGACTTGAGATGAAGTTGACCCTGAGTCAATGTAATGACGTCACTGAGCCATTGATCACATGATCCCTGAGCCACCCCCTGCCTCTGGACTTCATAGCATAACATACTGGCAAACAGGCCCATTTGATTTGGAGTTTCCCTGTTACTTGCAGCCCCAAACTTCTAATGGGCACGGCTGCTCATCCTTCAAGTTCCAGCATCCTCAGGAGTCACTTCTCTCTCGTATTTTGACCTCCCAGCATCTTTTCCTTTGGCTAACTGCTCTGCAGGAAGGGCCTCTATCACATACCCGACCCGCCTCACCACAGGGTATGGGCACAGGGCCCAGGCTGGGCACCGGAACACGCCATTCTCCATCAGGCAGTGGTGGGTGGGCAAGAGGTCTGCAAGGGGCCGGGCAGGGGTCAACAGAGAAGCTGGGAAAGGGGGCCTCTCCCCTTGGAGATAAAAGCACCACCTGAGTCTGCAGCTGCCCTAGAGAGCCTGCCCGAGAGCGAGCTCACCCAGCAAGGAGCCGAACCAAGTGGGAGGACAGGTGGATACACACGTGTGTACACACACACACACGTGCCCAGTGACACCATGTGGACTCTGGGCCCAGCTCAGCCTGAAACCAACGTGGACTCTCCAATTTCATGAGCTGATAATGTGCCTTTGATACTTAAGCTGATTTGCATTTCTGTCACTTGCAGCTGTCCTTCTAGAAGCCTTCTGGAGCAACTCAAGCATGAGACGATCTCTCTGGCCTCTGACTCTTGGCTGTTGCACTCATTTAGACACTCCTCCCCCTTTATGAACTGGTTCTCTTTTTCACATCTATGTGTTTGGTCTTTTAAACCAGATTGTAAGATTCTAAAGTGCATCTTAACACTTGATTCTGTGGAAGTATCAGACAAGGGGACAGGAACATATGCAACAGGGATATTCCTTCCAAAATGCTGATTATAATAAATTACCAAAGCCTAACAAAATATACCATAGGGGGTGGGTTATAGAAGTAATGATTCATCATTCAAGGAAATACTGTTAACAGGGATTATGTAAATTCATATTTAGTGACAAGGAAAGGCATTTACAATCCCTTGTTAAATAAAAAATGCTATAAAACATTGTGTACAACCTCTTTTTTGTTAAATTATCTATGTATATGAGTGCATACAGATACACACACTTATATATTGATATTTGCATATAAGAGTTTGTAAGACCATAAATCAAAATAGTTTTTCCCTTGGTTGTTGTAACTCTATCTGCACTTTATAATTCCTATCCATATTTTCTGCTTTGTCCACCTTGAATTTGTGTTTCTTATGTGATTTTTGTAGGTGGTGGGAGATTTGAGAGGTCAGGACTCTTTCTTACACTTTTCGGATCTCTGGTGAGCCTGGGAAGCCAGCTATGCCGAGAAGCCTTAAAAAGAACTTTCTACTGATTGGTCTATTCATAAGCTGTACAAAGTTTTTGCCTGTGGGGTGTTTTTTCGGGAGGTGGAGTGGAAATGTCAATTAAAAAAAATTAGTGCTGTATTTTATAGCTTTGTGGGTGAGTCAGAATATACATTCCCAAGTTGCAATGGACTCAAACCCTCTTTTGCCGTATGATTTGGCCGATCCCATATTATGCAGGCTCTATCATTATCTTTGAAGGGACAGCCAAATGCAGTAATTGGAATACAGAGTTACACACATCTGTGGATTAACCAAGAATTAGATAAGCTGTCCGTAGCTGACATACTCAACAGGCTAAAACCCCCAATGCCGCTTACAAGTCCATAAACTCTCTCCCCAAGACCATGTTCCAATATTATGTATTGATCCTGTTTCGAGGCAAGAAGCTCCATCTAACGCATGTCAGCGTCAACACCTGGATTAGGACCAGAAATGAATAGATCTGCCAGGCTCTCTGTGCTTTCAAGGGTGATGACCGTTGAAAGCCAAGTTAGCTGTGCACTAACTGAAAGCTGTGCACAAGGCAGCATGAGGTGGGGACGCCAACGCTCATATACCCTGGGACAAAGCTCATCTGACACCCAGGGGCCTGCCAGGCCATGGGGCTCCTTTCCAGCTGCAGAGCACCTCCTGGTATCTGAGGGCGGCATGCCACTTTGCTTACAAGAAACTCTCTTCTAACCATGTTACCCACTGGAAATCGGGTTCCCACCAGAAGAACAAACGAAACAGAACAAGATACTGATGGGGGTGCCATGTGTGTGTCGGGGGCGGAGGGATGTGGGAACTCTGTATCCGCTGTTCAGTTATGCTGGGAACCAAAAACTGCTCTTGAAAAGGTCTACTACTAATAAAAACACAAAAGCAAAACAGCATCAGGGAACAAAACAAATGGACAAAGTCAAACTTGAAGAGGCAGAAGGCCTACTGGAAGTGTGATATCGATGGTCCTGTCACTACCACTGGTCCACGTAGTTTAGAGAATGAAGCATTTGGGGATTAATTTGACCATTCCTATATTTCCAAAGGATATAATAATAGCATCATTGACAAGGATAATAATACCATCACTATTAATAATATTTGCCACTCTTCGTGGGGCCAGTAACTTAGGCCTGCTCCGGTCCTTCTCAAGGACTCTCTCACTCAGTTCTTCTAATTCCCATGGGAGGCAGGGCGTTACGGACCCGTCGCCCAGGCACCTCAGAGAGCATCGTAACTCATCCAAGGACCCTCTCCAGGCCTTCCCATGGGGCCCGGCTGCCGCCCACTGCAGAGGTCGTTTCTGATTTGCTACCCCATTTCCACTTTCTATTTTCAGTTGGAGAAGCTGTCTTCTCCAACCACACAGAGGGAGGGACGGTTTCAGAATCCTAGCCATCCACTTTTGCGGGCTGCTGTTTCGGAGCCACTGCTGTCCTTATTTATTTATTTATTTTTAACATCTTTATTGGAGTATAATTGCTTTACAACTGTGTGTTAGTTTTTGCTTTATAACAAAGTGAATCAGCTATACGTATACATATACCCCCATATCTCCTCCCTCTTGCATCTCCCTCCCACCCTCCCTATCCCACTCCTCTAGGTGGTCACAAAGCACTGAGCTGATCTCCCTGTGCTATGCGGCTGCTTCCCACTAGCTATCTATTTTACATTTGGTAGTGTATATATGTCCATGCCACTCTCTCACTTCATCCCAGCTTACCCTTCCCCCTCCCCATGTCCTCAAGTCCATTCTCTACATCCATAAATATACCATTTACATACAAGTATAAATGCGATCAGCATGAATATGGGTAAACCCTCGCTACCTCTGTATTTTGAGTGAATCCCTGTTTTCCTTTATAAATGAATGGACCACAACCAGTGTTGCAATAAAAGTCTTTAAACATATATCCTTTTGCATTTCTAGGATAAACTTCCAGATGGGGAGTTGTTAGATGATGTTCTTTAATGTTATCATTTTTACAAGGTGCGCTACAAAACACAAGACAGATTGGAAGTCTCAAAAATGGCTGAGCTGACCCAGTACCCTGGGGCCGCCCACATGGAAACTGGTCCACGTGGAAACTGCAGCCCGGCTACAGCAACCAGGGCAGGCCAATGCGGGCCATGTTCTAAAGATGAGTGACAGTGTCTGGAGAGGAGAGGGGCACCTGTGTGAGCTTCAGCTCAAGTCTCAGACCACAGGGGCTTCTCTTCCCCAGGAACCTAACAGGGCATCTGTACTTTGACATCGACCATGTGCTGACACGACCACGGGCCCTGTTTCAGGTTTATGTATCTGCCTCCCTTCTCTTGAAGGGCAGCATCTGTGTCCTTCACACCTTCCTCTCTACCCCGTTCCAAGCTTGCACAGAATGAGGGCCCCACTCACCTGGAGTGAATGGGTTCCAAGACGGGGGGTGCTCACAGAGTAGCTGGTGTCACCTTCGGAAGCTGTCAAGGGAAGTGGCCGAATAGCATGACTGGCTGTCAGTCATCCACACTCTCCCTGCTGAGGCTGTCAGAGGTCAGCTGGCGAGCAGCTCGGCCTCAGACACGGGCGAGCCCCGCTGAGCCTGGCCAAGCTCAACCCAGTTCTGCTGAACC